GCAAAAGTGAGACAACCAGTGCTGGTGTTTTGCTAGAGGAGGAATGAGGCTACTTATTGGTAAGGGGATACAGGGATGAAGCGAAGTCTCAGACATTTTTCTCCATATTCATAGAAGGGAGAGGTTTCAGAGTTGAAGTATATTCTCTTAGGGATACAGGAGCCTGTGCAGGTTTTTGGGTCCTGGTTAGAGAAGATAAAGCAAAAGTGAGACAACCAGTGCTGGTGTTTTGCTAGAGGAGGAATGAGGCTACTTATTGGTAAGGGGATACAGGGATGAAGCTTATGTCAGGTTGTGCAAAAGCTTTTTGGCAACATGAGATCCCAGTTGTTGATTCTTTATATTACCTGTACGATTGAAGTTTTGTTTTCATACAGTCTGCCTACTCCTGTGTCCTCAAGGATTCTGCCTATTCTGTCTTCCAGGAGATTTAGTGTTTCTGTTTCCATATTTATATATTTGATCTATTTTTATTTTAGTTCAGTGCATGGTGAAAGATTTGGGTCTAGTTTTAATCTTTGCTTTGTGGAAAGACAGTTTTTCCAGCACCATTTATTAAAGAGGCTTTCTTTCAGCGAAGGTGCTTGGCCCCTTTGTCAAAGATAAGGTGGCTGAGTGTGTTTGGAGTTGTTTCTACATTTTCTGATGTGTTCCACTGATCCTCAGTTTTTTGTTTTTTGCCAGTACCATGCTATTTTTATCAGAGTAGCTTTGTAGTATAATTTCAAGTTGGGGATTGTGATGCCTCCTACCTTGTCTTTGTTACTGCAAATTGTTTTTGTTATTCTGAGCCTCTTTTGGTTCCAAGTGAATTTTAGGATTGTTTTCTCTAATTCTATGAGTTATGCTATTGGTAGTTTGATTGGGATTGCATTAAATCTGTATAACAATTTTGGAAGTGTGGCCATTTTTACTATGTTGGTTCTTCTCAAAAGCAAAGGGTGTCTTTCCATTTTCTGATATCCTCTTCAATCTCCTTTCTCAGAGTATTGTAGTTTTCAATGTAAATGTCTATTATATACTTTGGTGTAGATTATGGCTAATTGGGATTCTATAAGCCTCGCTTATCTGTATGTCAAATTTTTTTCCTTGCTTGGGAAGTTTTATGCCATTACTTCTGTGAACATGTTTTTTAATGTTGTTTGCACTATTTCCTTCTTTTTCATTGACTCCAGTTAACCTTATGTTATTCTTTGCTTCATCTAGCAGCTGTTGGATTGTTTTTTCATGGTTCCTTGATAGTTTGAAGACATCTTTCTTTTCATGATCATTAGCTGCAATCCTGTCATCATATTCTGTCCTCACTTTGGCTCATTCTGTTGCATATACTTTCAATAGAATTTTTAATCTCCTGGATATCTATTTGAGTCTGTTTCATGGATTCCATTTCTTTCAAAAAAAAAAAAAAAAGAATCCACAAACTCCAGGGCCAGGGATTTAGCTCAGTGGATTTAGCCACCACCTGCCTCACAAGTGCAAGGTCCTGAGTTCAGTCCCCAGTATCAAAAAAAAAAAAAAAGAAACCATTTCTTTTCTGTGTTGGATGTCAGTGGCTACCATCATTTTCCTAAGCTTCTCTATTTTTTTTTTTTTATCTGTATCTGCTGTAGAATCAGTGATCATGTCTTTCATTATGGTCATCATCTCTGTAGTTATCTGAGAAACCGTTTCTGATTTGATTTTTTTCTAGAGCTTCATTCATCTGCTTTGTTACTTCCACTCTTACCACTTCAGAGAGTCCTGGGATTGGGTTACAAATTGTTACACTTCATTGCTCCCTGGGTTTGCCTGTGGTGAGCAGCAAATTTGAGATTGCGTCTTGCTTATATGTCTTCCATTTTCTGTGTTTTAAAAAGTTTAATTCCTGGGTAGATGTTTGTAAATTGCATATGGCAAGTAGCTTTAGTGCTAGTATTTAGAACACTTAGGAAATGACTACTTCTCAGAGATGTCTTCCAAAAGTATATCTGGATTTTGAGTCTGTTGCAAGATCAAGCCTGTTCAATTTATTGGGGATGAGAAGTTGTTGCCTATTTAGCCTACCTTCTGATTCTTTGGCACTGGCCTATAGTATTATTTATGACCCATAGGCAATCTCCATCTTGGCGTACCAGAAAGAACAACTGATTAGAACAATTATGTCACCTTGGCTAAAATGGTACAATCAACAGTAACTATAGCATCAAACCCAGCCTATAAAATGATAAACTGTGGTAACTATTGATTTGCCACCTTTAACAGTATGAACTAGATTTGTGGTTATATAACAAAATCTAACACAAACCAGAAAACTGTATACAGTAAATATGCCCTCAGTATGGTGACTTTACCCTCAAGGGAGATAATTTGAAATGGTTTAGGGGGAAAAATAGAGAAACAGAAGAGGAAGAGATTAGATGCAAGGCTGGAGGACAAAGGAAGATTATGCAAACTTTGGGGAACTGAAGAAGAAGACAGGAGGGAAAGAGGAAGAAATAAAAATAGGAACAGAAAAGAGTAAAAAAAAAAACTAAAAGCAATATTCTCACATATAAAAATAAGAACATACCAAAAAAAAAAAAAACAAAAAACAAAACAAAACAAAACAAAAACAAGAAAAGGAAAAAAAGAAAAAAAAAAAAAAAAAAAAAAAAAAAAAACAAAAAACAAAACAAAACAAAACAAAAACAAGAAAAGGAAAAAAAGAAAAAAAAATGTCCACTTCAAGGCATGTCTCTGCTGTCACTGGCAGAAAAATTAGACCCACAGAGCCCAGATCCATGTTGATTAATCCCAACAAGCCAGCTAAAGATTTATGGCAGGGTGGTGGATAATCCCAGCAAGCCATTAGTTGTGAAGCTCAGGCTGGTTTCTGGCTGTGAGGCTGGAACCCCATTTGTCAGCCTGAAACACTCCATGTGTCTCCTGCCAGCTTGAACTTGGGGCTCTCTGCAAGCTTTAACTTGGCTCCTTGCCCTTCTGCTGACTTAAATTTGGTTCTGCCTCATCCTGATGGAGCCAGTCCACAGCTGCTCTGATTTCTGAGCTCAGTTGCCCCCTGTCTTAAGATGGCTATCAGCCAATCGCCCTATCCTGGGGGATGTCTGAACCTGAATAACTCACCAGCCACTGCAGTCTGCTGCATCCACTGCTCTGTTCCACTGGTGTGTTTCTCTGTGCAGGCCTCTGGGATCACCAGTAGTGTGCAGCTTTGAGCCACCCTTCCCACACAGTGAGTCAGGGTTCAGGGAGAAAGTGTCACTTGCCACGTCCCCCTCCATTGAAGTCTGTCCATTTTCCCTGTGGGCTTCAGTTCAGATCCTTGCTGTGTCCCGGGGACCCACTTCCCTCCTTCTCTTCATGTTGCTGTATTCCAGTGTCTGGACACCAAATCTCAGAGAGGCTATTTCTCTGCTGTTCACCACTCCACCATCTTCCTGGAAGATTTTTATAAATAATCATTTTCGTCAGCTTATTGCCCCTTAAAAATTTCCTTGTTTATTTCCATGGGAATTTGGTAGGAATGTTAGAAGACATGGCTTAAATCACTAATTGAATCAGAAGTCCAAAATGGCACATGGACTGTAATAATTTGGGGATATTATGAATGACAGTGACACAGCCCTTCTGAACTGCAGAGAAAAGTCTTTTATGCTAGTGAGCTTTCCATCACAGTGAAGCAATACCTGAAAAAAAGCAGCTTAGGAGGAAAGATTTATTTGAACTCTTGGCTTTAAAGGTTTCAGTCCATTGCTTCTTGGTCCTGTTACTTTTGGCCTTCAGTGGTATAGTACATCATGGTGGGTATATACATTGTAAAGGAGTCTTGTTAACCTCATGGTAGCTGGAAACAGAGGTGGGGAGGGAGGGAGAGAGATTTAGAGAGACAGAAAGACAGAAACAGGAAGGGCCAGAGTCCCAGTATCCTCTTTACAGGCATGCCTTCTCTTACCTAACTTCCTCGATTAGGCCTTACTTGTTAAATTTCCTCTATCTCCTGGTAATGCCACAGGTTGACAACCAAACCTTTAACATATGGGCCTTTGAGGAACAATCCAGGACCAAATTATAGTAGTCTTAAAAAATTATTATAGTCTTGCAACTAAGACTCCAGTGGCTTAAAATGCCCTTCTTTTAGTCAGGTGCACCCCTGTAATCTCAGCACTGTGGGATCTGAGGCAGGAGGATCACAAGTTCAAGCCTAGCCTGGGCAGTTTAGTGAACCTCTGCCCCAAAATTTTAAAAGTGAAAAAAATAAAAAGGCGGCGGTGGGGGTGTGTGTGTATGTCAGACTTGTAGCTCAAGGAAAAGAAAAGAGAATGCCCCTTGTCTGATTGCTGGGCACCATCCTGATTTTCTGAAAAGTTTGGTGGTTAGCAGTAATAATGTAAGCAGAGCAAAGGAAAAATTGTGAAAACACTTTCATTCTAAAGTTAAAAATAGGGAGAAATCTGAAAGAGGGAGTACTCAATTGTTACTGTGCTCGTGAGTCTAGACTTTGTGTACTGTTCTAGATTTATGATAAGTGTGCTTCACTAAGGCTGTGAAACGTGGAAGTGGTCATTTTAAGAACTGAAAGTTAAGCTTTTAGAGAGAAGTCTTTTCTCAAAGCATGATCTGTGACAGCTGTCCTGCAAAGGAAGTCTGGGTGGGGAGAGGTTTGGATCTTACTCCCGATTATTGAATTAGAATAGGATCCTCTGAATACAGTTCTCTGTGCATCTACCTGGGAAGTGACATTGTCACTGCACCCCATGAGATTTTCCCCTGCTCAAGGTTGAGAACCACAGCCCCTGGTCTTGTGACATTCCGGTGTTGGGTTGCTATTCCCTGCGGGTTTTTGTTTTTCTGTGGTTTTGCTTAAATGGCCCTCTGATGTAAATGGTGACCCCCCACCTCCCACCCCACAGTCCATTTCTGCCAACTCGGTTTTAAACTTCAGGCTAAGAATTCTTAAGTGTTATCAGTTACTTTTCATTCCTGTGTTTCTGATTCTGAACTTGTTATTTTCCCCCCCACAGAGCTGAGAAAACAGAAGTCCTCAGTGAAGATCTGCTACAGGTAACAAAATAAAGTTTTCTTAAAATGGTTTGTGAAAAGATATGAAGTAAAAACAAAATGCAGGGCTGAAGATGTAGCTCAGTGGTAGAACATGTGCTTCGCACACACAATATACATGAAGCCCTGGGTTCAAACCCCAGCACAAGACAAAAAAAATTTTTTTTAATGACTTGAAAATTAAAGAGAGAGAGAGAGACAGTTGTGTGTCTGTGTCTATGTGTATTTAAACTACAATGGAATTATTTTATTTTATTATATTTTGGTACCAGGGATCAAATTTTGGGTCCTTTCACTTGCGAGGCAGGCGGCGGAACCATTGAGCCAAATCCCCAGCTAGAATCATATTAAGTAGCATGGTTTGAGCAGGAAAGAGCAGTGGTGAGGTGAAAGAAAAGGGATCTGAAACAGTGGTGTCACGTTATGAAGTCCAGATGGAGCTAGCTCTGCTTTCAAGTGCCAGGTGCTGGGTCGGAGGGGCCTGGTCAGTGCCCTGGCTTGGTGCTCATGTGGGTCCTGAGTAGGCAGAGATGATCACTGCTGGGATGGCACCCTGGAGGGTTAGACCCTGCCAGCTGAAGCTCCATCCTGGGGCTGTGACTTCCTACTCCTTTGTGCACAGTGGCTCCCCCTGCTGTGGGCTGTCTGGTCCTGAGGGCTTAGGTCAGTGATGGTGCGTCTTTTAGAGCTCAGTGGTACAAACAGCCCGCTGTGGCACGTGTACCATAGCTTTGCCACCCCAGTACCCAGATCTGACCTGGAGTGCCTCAGATCAGCATCCTAGACACCTTCCTCCTGCTCCTGCTGGGGCCAGGGCCACGTCATCCTTCCTGTCCACAGGTTTCCTAACTTTGAGCTGAAATTCTAGAAAATTCTGACACTTCACACTCCTTCACCCGACCCCATCCCCACCCACAGTAGGATCCTTAGGGAAGAGTAAATCACCTGTGCAGGTCTGCTCATGTGAGTCCCTGAGGGCCAGAGGCCCACTCCTGCGTGACTCTGTGTCCCCTCTGTGTCAGAAAGTTACTCAGGAAAATGCTGCTTCTGCCATATCACACCAGAATGTCCTTCTAAATTATGACAGCTGCCTGTAGATAGACTTTTTTTCTTACTCTCTGTGGGCAACTTGGTTCTAGGACTCCCACCTCCACCCCATGAATACCAAAATTTGTGGATGCTTATCTGTTATATAAAATGGGTGTGTGTTAGAATACAACCTAGGCACATCCTTTTGTATACTGTAAATTGTCTTTAGGTTTCTTACAATCCTACAAGGTAGGTAAATGTTGTTCTGTTGTATTGTTTTGGAACTAATAACAAGGAAAAAAGTCTGTATGCTAAGTACAGATGCACTTTTGTTTCTTGAATGTTTTGATCCATGGTTGGCTAAGTGTGTGTATATGGAGTCCATAAATGTGGAGGGCTAATTGATTTTGTTTGTTTATTCTTTGGTGTTGGTGATTGAACCCAAGGTCTTGCACATGCTAAGCCTGTGCTCTGCCACTAAGTTACACTCCCAGCCCAATTGATTTTTTTTTTTTTTTGAGGTGCTAGGAACTGAATCCAGGACCTTCACACTAAGCTACATTCCCAGCCCTCTTTTTACAATTTTAAGACAGGATATCACTGAGTTGCTTAGGCTGGGCTCAAACTTGTGATCCTCTTGCTTTGGCCTTGCCACCATGCCCAACTCTATCTCAATTGATTATTAAGAGCACTTTTTATTCTTTTGTTGTTTGTTTAGTTTTAAGGTTTGTTTTTTGAGGACTGAGATGTTTGTAAAATTAAGTAATAGGGTTTGTTTTGTTTGTTTGTTTGCTTGGTTTGGCTTTTTGAGACAGGGTCTTGCTGACGTCCCAGGTCAGTGGTCCCCATTATCCCATTAATCATGGAGCCCTTAGATCAGGCCTGAGGACCTCGTGGGCAGTTGGAGGATGGCAGAGTCCTCGTGGCACACAGGGGACAGCTGTCCAGGAATCCACTGGAGCCTGAGACTCCTGATTGTCTAACAGATTTTTGTCATAACTCCAGCATATGTTCCCACTCATTTCTGCTGTTTCTGAGTGGAAAGAGGGAGTCAAGGTTAAAGGTGTTGATTGTGCTACCCAGCTCTGAATTTGTTTTTTGTTTGGTTTTTTTGAGACAGGGTCTCACTATGTAGTGAGACTGACCTGGAACTCACTATGTAGCCCAGGTTGGTCTTGAACTCACAGCAGTCCTCCTGCCTCAGGCTCCTGAGTGCTGTGATTACAGGCATGCACCACCACGCCCAGCCCCAGCTCTGAATTTGAATCCCACGTCTGCCTGTGACCAGCTCTGTGGCCTCAGGGATTTGCTTAACTTCTCTGTGCCTCAGTTTCCACTCTTCTTCGGTGAGGGTACAGTATCAATATGATGTTAGGGTCATAGAGTGAAATCTGGGAAACACTCACTGTAGCTAGCCCGAGAGCGGAGATTGGGAGCCTTCCTGTGACCACTTCAAGAGATGTGTGCTCCTGGTATGTTTTTGAGTGAAATTTCCCTTGATTTGCTCTTTGTTCTGCCTCTTTCTTAGATCTGTTTGATCATTTCCAAGGGCTGCCTTATGATTTGCCTGTGTGGAGTTGCCCCAGGAGGCCATGAGTCCCACAAGGGTGGGAACCAGAATTTACTTAGTTTTTCTGATATCTAGTATAGGATCTCAATAGATTTGTACCCCATTTATTCACAAATAGTAGGTGAATATCTGTTGAGCCCACGATAGATGGGGATCCAGGCACATGGGTAATCAGCAAGTACAAGTCAGGCATCGGTTCACAAACTTAATTCTTTCCATGATTTGATCACAATCAGAATTGGATGAGAACCAAATCAAAGTCAATTGTTAGGTTCAGTGTTGACCTTATGGAGAAATTTGATACGGTTCTTGTCCAATTTGGTTTGTGACCAGAATCGTGGAAAGAAGTAAGTTCATGAACTGAGGCACCACTGTAAAACAACAGGGCTTCTGGCCTTACAGAATTTACCTTTTAGTGGAAATTGAAATCAGAATTAAGGAGTTTTGTTTTGCCTGTTTTGCTTGTGTGGCCAATGAAGAATGTGTGTTGGTTTTCTAATGCTTTAAAATCTGGCCACTGTAAGATTTGGGGAAGGTGATGTGGCATCTACTTCATTCATATTATAAACTTGCTTGCCAGCTCAGAGTCCCGGAGATGGGGCTTGGTGTCTTGGGGCCCACAAAAGTCAAAAAGCATCTCATGGGGTAAAATATTTAGGGGTCAAATGTATTCTGCTTTGAATTTGTTGACTTTTCTTTAAAATAGAAACGTCCCTCAGGGCTTGTTCTGAATCTTCATGAATCATCAGAATACACATTTTTAACATTCCTTCCTGTAACAAGCAGCTCTTTTTGCCATAAACAGCCATATCTAACAGTAGTGTTTTGGGAAGCTACTCATAATGTGTGCATCCTTCTGCCAGTGTTTCTCTGCTCTGGCTATCCATTATGCTTTGGAGGTATATTAGAAATGAAACAAAAACTCACACAAAACTAATAAGCAACAATTTTTAAAACACTGTTCTTGAGTTGAAATTGTGGCACATTGATTTTGATTCTTCTCTCTGCTCATCCACATTTGATGAGGAGAGCTTCTGGGTGTGTGTGTAGCTTTCCCGCTTGGCAGTACATCTGGCCTGGACCATTCGTTTGTGGTTCTGCTTGATTGGACCCAGGGCTTTGCTGATACTACATTAGGTAAACTGATTGCCACAACTCAGTCTGGTTTTTTTTTGTTTGTTTTTTCCTTTTGGGTACTGGGGAATCGAATTCAGACCTTGCGCTTGCAAGGCAGGTGGCAAAACCACTGAGCTAAATCCCCGGCCCTGCCACAACTCAATCTGATAGTAAGGGTTAGTTAAGATTGTCTCTTACCCATCTTCATGTAGATTCTGCTTTCAGGGGAGCTAGAACCAAACCCCTCAACATAAGGGAGGTCAGTGGTTCTCATCCAGGGGTGACTTTGCCCTCTTGGAGACTCTTGATAATGTCAAGTCATTTTTGGTCGTCCCAACTTGGACAGTGGGTTGCGGCTGGCATCTGATGGGTGGGGCCAGAGATGTTGCTAAGTCTCAGTGCGCAGCCCCCCCCGCCAGATTGTCCAACCCAGAAGGTCAGCAGTGAGAATCCCTGCTGTAGGTGGATGGGAACCATTTCCCTTTCTATCTAAGAGCTAAAAAGTTACTGGAAAATGTTCACACCTGCCCGAAAACACCACAAAGAGAAGAGTCTGAGTTTGTTCTTCAGCCTACAGATGGCTCTTTTGTCTTGGCCTTGACAGATTGAGCGGCGCCTGGATGCGGTGCGGTCCGTGTGCCACCATTCCCATAAGCGTCTGATTGCGTGCTTCCAGGGCCAGCATGGCACCGAATCTGAGAGGAGACATGTGAGTATGGGATGCAGCCCAGCCCCATTCCTGTGTCTTTATGAGGCTGTCCACCCTCCAGCGTGGGTGGTTTTTCCCAAGCAGCATTAGTGTTGGTCTGTGGGTTGGTGCCTTATATCCCTGCCCATGCTCATGACAGTTCCTGGCCACGACATTCTTTCCCACTTAGACACCTCTGGGCTGAAAGGCCTGCTCACCCTGAATCTTATCCAGGTATCTTTAAAGCCCTGGTAAACAGTTTGTCAGTGCTAAGAGAATGAACGTGCCAGGAATCCCTTGGCAAAAATCTGAAAGCCTATTCTAAATTGACTTAGGAAGCTGAAGTTGTTTACTGACTTGCCAGCCGAAAAGTCACAGATTGGGATGGACCTGGGGTAAAGCTTGGTCTGTCTCGTTCTTTCTCTCCCCATGCCTTTGTCAGTATCTGCTTTGTCCATAGTCATGCGCCTTCATGGTTGCAGTTTGGCCACTATCATTATCCATGGACTTCATTCTTCCTGTGTGTGTCCAACAGGGTAGAGCCTCTCTTCTGGTATTTTTCTTACTGGAGTGAGAAAACTTCTTTTCCAAGCCCTTAGTAGACAGGAATCTCTTCCCACGGCATATGGAGACACAGACTGCATTTAGGAACATTTCCATTCCATCCCAATTACCGTGGGCAGGGGGTGAGGAGAAAGGATGCACTGGTGGGTGAAAACTGGCTGGGCCCAGCCCTCGAGCCTGGTGGTGGCTCACGGGCTTTCTGGAGCATGCTGTTGTGGAGAGGAAGGGTGGACTCTGGGAGGGCCACTAGGAGAACACTGCTCACTAGGCAGTTCTGTCTTTGCCTTTGAAAGCTCCTAGCTTATGAGCTTGCATCCTCCTTCAGATCCTTTGTCATATTAAGGTGCCAGTTTCAGTGACTTATTGGGAAGCTAGGGTTTGCTGTATTTTTGCTTGTTACCAAAGGTCTCAAGAGGCAAAAGTAGCATGCCGGTATCTATGTTACCCTTTTGTATTTCCTACAAACATTTATAGGGCACCTTGACAATAGGGTTATCCCTCCTCACACAATATTTAGGATTCTACAGTTGTATATATACAGAGTAAACATTTGTGTGTGCCTACAGTTCCAGGAATGCTTGCCGCTTGCTCTAACAACCAGACCCAGTCCACTAATTCTGCCCTTACCATTCTTTTTCACTGTCTTGCCTTGGCTTCTGCTCTGCCTACTTTTTCCTGGAGTGGTACTAGGTGTAGAATCCTGGGGTCACTCATGCTAGGCTAGTGCTCTGCCCCACGCTATGCCTCCAGCCCTTCTGCTTATCCTTGTACTGCTTCTGGTAAGGTTCTGTGCTTCTCTACATTCTCCAAGTCGTATTCTCCAGGCCTCCTCTGCTCTTCTTCTGGCTTCTAACTCATATGCTTATGCCAGTGACTTCAAAACCATTTTCTGTTACACAAGAGCATTCTTACCTTAGAAGTCCATCTTAGCATATATGAGTAGTTCTTCCTTCTGTGCCAGCACTCTTGAATTTTGTCTCTCCTCTTATGCAAATAAGAAACTATGGGGTTATCTCATTTTATCCTCCACCCTCCCACAGCTGCCTGACTAACAATCCTGTGATCTTCTCTATGAATATCTTTTAAAATTTTTTGTGTCTCTGCCACATTTGCCTTAATGCAAGGCTGGATTACTTCATCTATGGACTGTTGTAATCACCTCCTGAGCTGCATTTCCTGCCTCTAGTTTCTTTCCTTTCCCATTTGTCTTCAGCTTAACTACCAGAGTCAGTTGCCCAAAATACAAATCAATCCTATTATCCTCCTGCCTAAAAGAATAGAATGAACAAAACCCTCAAACAACATAAAACAACTTCTTCAGTGATTTGTAACAGAGACCAGAATTATACTCCTGGGTTATTTGGGAGAGACAGTTTGGATTGCTATTAGGACTAGAGACGCTGCTGGCACTTAGGTCTGGGAACCAAGATGATAATGTGCTACTGCACCTGGGGAATTAGTTCCATACAAGAGAATGCCCCAGAGTGACCCTTTGAGGGTCACTAGCTGGTTCCCATTGCATGGGATGAAGTCCTAGCCTGTTTGCATTACTTTACCTTTGAATCTGGCCCAGTTTTGCCTCATCAGCTTTTCTGTGCTTGGGTCCTCTCATTCCCACTGTAGTCTATCCACTACTACACCCAGTGCCCTTCTCATAGGCGTGTCCTGTTGACTGGCTATCCTCTGCTTTGAGGTGTGATCCAGCAGTCACGTATATTCACTAAAAACAGTTTGTCAGGCCCTTACAGTGTATGTGTGCTAGGGACATAAAATAAGTGAAATGTAAGTGTTTATGGTTGGTGGAGGAGATACGGGCACATGGATAGTAAAACAATGTGGTAAATGAAATATGTGCAGGATATTATGGGAGAGCCAAAGCAGGTACCAAGGGGGAGAGTGGGCATCAGGGGTGACCTCCTGGAGGAGGTGATGGCTGAGCTGTACAAGAGGGAAATTGTGGCTCTGACAGGAATATTCCATGTCACAGGAGCAGAGGTTCTTGGTCCTTGTCTCTGAAACCTAATGCATGCTTTTCCTTTTCCAACATCAATCCAGAGTGCCAAAGACAGGGCTCTGAGGAGAGGGAAGGAGTGTGGCCACGGCAGTGCTGCATGGTGGGTAACCGTGAGAGATCGTGCACTGTGGAGAAAGTCTCGGCAGTCTGCATGGCAGGAGCTCTCGCAGGCTTGCCAGAAGCCTGCACATGGGACGGGCAGGAGCTGGAGGGGAGAGGTGGAGCTGGTGGCCTTCTCTCTTCTTGACTGGCATCTCCGCTGACACGCAGAGCTTTGGTTGTGGGCCTTGTGGGATCTAGCATTACCTGTTTCCTATGTAGCTGGCGTGGATGTTACACTTTAAGTGCTGTTCACCTGTGGGGAGCCTGGAGCCCTCCCTGTGGAGTTCCTTGTTGTAGTCAGCATTTTTAGTGAGCTTGTGTGTTCTGCAGGATCTCCTTGTTTATGTTACCAGGAGGAGGATTGTGGATTTAGGTCAGGACACAAACCGCAAAGCTATGTGATCTAGGATCTTGAGGGACACTTGTCAAATAGACTGTGATATTTTTCCTCACAGACTGAGGGAGTTTCAGAGTGGCTGAAGGTGTATTTCTCTTCATAACTGCACTTGTCTTATATTTAACCTCCTTCTGAAAGTCAGCCTAGAGGGTTATCTCGCATCACAAGTTTAAGTCTGTCTGTGAGCCTGATCACAGAATTGTCCCATGATTCTGGTTGCAACTAAGTTGCAAACATACATGTACTATGTATGCTTGCAGTTCAGAATTGTGGAAGGCATTAAATATGTGAACTGAGGTACCGCTATAGTTGAAGCATAGAAATCATCCTCTGTTCTCATACCTTCCTGTCTAAAAGTATGGCAGCCAGGAGTGGTCTTCTTATAGGTGGGGAGGAGCCTCTTATTTTATTTATTTGAAAATATCTCTGAGGGAGGGGAGATGGGTTATTTGAAATGTTAATTTATTGTTTTGAATTGGTTTTATACTTACACAGTCAAAATATAGAAGATAAAATGAAGGCTCCCATAGCCCTTGTTCCCCAGGTGCCCAGCCAGCATCCTTGCCTGGAGCCGCCAGTGCTAACAGCTTCTCAGATGCCCTTCCACAGACATTGTCCATGGCACAGAGCCCAGGCACAAGTGTACCCAGGGCGCCCTTTGTGGTGACAGGGTAGACCACGTATTCCTTCTGGGAAGGCCAGTTTCATGTGGGGCTGCAGATCTGAAAGCATTCTTTTGTAGTAGGTGATGGTGTTACAACCAACCCACTTGTTACTTTTTTAGACTATCTCTACCCATGTTCTGAGATAAACCATCAACCAGTGTGAAAAGACACCGAACTGGGGCTCAGGCCATCAGGACCGAGTCCTGCTCACCTAGGGTGTCTGGCCAGGCCACTGACCCTCGCCAGGGTCTGAGTTCTTTGACTGCAAAGATTAAGTGATCTCGCTGGCTAAGAAACAGACCTCAGATAGGAAAACAATTGGCTTTCTACTTAAAAATACTACAGTAACTTTTCTGTATATTTAACTAGATTTTTCCCCCCCAGTATCAGGGATTGAACTCAGTACCTTGTGCTTGTGAGGCAGGCGACAGCACCACTGAGCCAAATCCCTAGCCCTTAACTAGATATTTTTACACATTTAAAGCTAACTTTATGATTATAGCCAAGTGAAGACCCAGTTTCACAATGTTCTAGCAACCGGGTGTGGTGGTGCATGCCTGTAATCCCACCATTCAGGAGGCTGAGGCAAGGGAGTTGCCAGGAGTTCAAGGCCACCCTGAGCTTCATAATGAGGTCAAGGCCAGCCTGGACTGCATAGCGAGACCCTGTCTCACTACTAAAAGAAAGAAAAGAATGTCCTAGCAAAAGCATTTTTGAAAAGGAGTATTTTCCTGTACTTACCTATGATAGCCCTCTAGAGAACAGGAGCACAGTACCGGCTGAGTGTCTTTGTCTCAGTGTGCCGTCCTGAGCACTCTGTACTCTGAACATGTCCTGAGTGCTGACGTGATGACATGACACTTGGACGTGTTCAGATTTGGAGCATTTAAGATTTTACTTTTCAGGGATCTTCAGCCGGGGAAGTCTGGGCAGATGGTCCAAAGTCCAAACCCTCCAGTCTCTGACACTTCTGGTCCAGGCATTTCAGATAAGTGACCCATAAACCATATGTGGTCGATTAATTAGTAACAATAACAGCAGGAGCAAGAAGAACCACAGCTCCTGTTTCCCAAGTGTGTACTATGTGCTAGGTACTTGATGGTGCAAGGTACTTGACGGTGAATGTGTCTCATGTAGTCAGCAGCCCCAGCTGGGACCTGGAGATGAAATCACAGAACTGACTCTTAGAAATGGAACCAGAATCAGCTCTCTTTTCGGCGCAGTTTTCCAGGAGGGAGAGATCAGTGGACGGTGATACAAAAGTCATTGAGAAAGGGTCCAAACAATAATGGAAAAAACAAACAAAACAAAACCAGTATCTTTTCCCTTCCAGAAAAAACTCCCTCTGACAGCACTTGCTCAGAATATGCAAGAAGCATCAACTCAGCTGGAAGAATCTCTCCTGGGGTAAGTTGGCTCCTGGTAGAAGGTTGTAAGGGGTGGCACACAGTAACCCTGGTGGGACCAAGGGACTTCAGGCAGGATGGCGCGCCCTGCCTGCCTGGATGGAAGCAAGGCCTTGTGGAAGAAAGTAGGACACAACTGCTGGTGTGGCTGGGGATCTTCCCACTGGTAGGAGCAGGGCTGGAGTTAGAGGAGGCAGAGCCACTAAGAAAAGTACTGATGTGACTATGGCAATGTGTAGTCCTCCAAGTTTAGGTATGAGGAACTTTGTCCTTCCCTTGTTCTGGGTGTGACTCACATTTATACCCTGACCAGTCCTTTTCACTCCTACGAGTAGCTTCCTGTCGGAGTGATCATCAAAATACCAATCAAAAGGCCAAGGATGTAGCTCAGGAGCACCGAGCCTGTCTTGCAAATGCAAGGTTGTCTCAAAAGAATGTATTTTCTGAATTATTTGGTTTTTTTGTTTTAACTTAAAATCTTTAATTCTGGTTTGTTTGTTAAAATATATTTATTTTATTGTTTTGTTTTGTTTTTGGTACCAGGGAACGAACTCGGGTCCTTGGACTTGCAAGGCAGGCCACCGAACCACTGAGTTAAATCCCCGGCCCTAAAATATATTTATTTTAATAGACACATAATTGTACCTGTTTCGGGGGTACAGTAATTCAGTGCAGGTCCAATGCATATGGTTCGAATCGGGATAATCAGCATACCCATCACCCTAGACACCTGTCACTAACCAGTGGTTGGGAACAGTCAAAACCTGTTAGCTGCTATGGAATATGCAGCTAATTGCCGTTCTGCTGAGCTATGAGACCTTCGGAGTGACTCCTCTCAAGCAGCTGTAGCCTTCTACTTGTTAGCCATCCCCTCTGTATCCACCAGTGCACTTGGCTGTAGAGCTTTTCCTTTTTATCGTAGGCGTGTAAGCCAAGCTTGGTGACACACCCCAGTAATCTTAGCACTTGGGAGGTGGAGGCAGGAGGTTCACTGTGAATTTGAGGCCAGACTAGGTTAGCTAGTGAATCCAAGGCCACCCTAGAATAAATAGTGAGACCCTGTCTCAAAACAAAATCATTAGGCATGCATTATTTAAATAATAAAAAAAAATCAAAGAGAAAGTGATTTTCATTGAGGAAAAGATTATGCTTCCTTCTACCTGCTTATCCAGTGAGACTGGTGTCTTTAATCTGGCTCTGTGCTATCTATCGCATGGGCCCTGCTTCCCAGCTGTGCATGGCTTTTGGGTATTTCTGCCCATTTCCCCGAATCTGTAGTCTTTCCTTTGTTCTTGGGAGTGAATGCTTTCCCTGCGCCATGTGCTTTTCCCCTTCCTTTGTGCTGTCTGGGTGCTGGAGGGCAGGGGCGCCTGTTCCCTCCACATTCGCAATTCCTCATGCTGACGCCATTGCCCTCACTCGAGCCTGGTGCTGTGTGCCGGCCCTGTGCTGAGTGCTTTCTAGGTGTAGCTCATTGGCTCCTCAGAACCACCTGGGGAGAGCCGGGTGTGGTGGCGCACTCCTGTGATCCCAGCACTCAGGAGGCTGAGGCAGGAAGGTTGCTGTGAGTTCGAGACCAGCCTGGGCTACATAGTGAGTTCCAGGTCAGTCTCAACTACATAGTGAGACCCTGTCTCAAAAAATGGAAAAACAAAACAAAACCCCCTGGGAAGGTGATATTAGTGCTTCTGTTTTCCAGATGAGGGTATTGGCCAAACAGGGTGAGAAGACAGCCTGAGACCACACAGCTGTAGAAGAGCAGAGCCTGGATTTAAACTCAGGCAGCTGTGCCATGGCCACCTCTCACCATGCCACACTTTCTAGTGATGCATGAAAGTCACAGATCCCTGGGGGTCAGGGCCAAGGGGGAGGAAAGAGAGAGAGGATCAGAGACAGTGGAGTTACCTCCTCTGTGTACTTGGTGTGACACTAGCAGTGAGCACAGAAAATCCAAAAAGGAGTCATGTAACATGTCCTTTCAGCGTTAGCCAGGTCCCTCATCTGCACAGAAGAGAGCCAGCTTTTAACACCACTGGGACTAGATTGCTGGCAGACATAGGAAAACACGTCATGGATTTTGTATATTCTTTAAAGATTTTCAGGGCACTTTGAGAACACTTAGTTCTCACTTGGTGTGGGAACCTAATTCTTGGGTAAGTTGTGCCCTCACCTCATCATTCACTTCTGCCTCTAGAGTCTGTGTGTGAAAGACTCGCGTTCATTTTAAAGCACAGGTCTGTTGCCTCAAATTTAAGGTGGTAGCTGTGTGTGTTGTACAATGGTTAGAAGGCTTTATTGGGTGGGCAGTGCTCTGCTGTGTTCCCGTCGTACAGCAAGCGGGGCTGTCACCGTATGAGAATCTAATACCTGTCTAACTAGCACACACGCTGTGTGGGGGGTCTTGTCATTAAAGGAAGATGCTGGAGACGTGCGGAGACGCTGAGAATCAGCTGGCTCTGGAGCTCTCTCAGCACGAAGTGCTTGTGGAAAAGGAGATCGTGGACCCTCTCTACAGCATAGCGGAGGTGGGTGCTTGCCCTGGGCAGCACGGGCTGCATGGTGAATGGTCCCTGTGTGTCTAAGACTTGAATAATCGGTGGCTTTAGTACCCGTTCCCTTTTGGAACTAAAGGGAGGAACTTGAGGTTACAAGATTTTTTTGTTTGAGAGAAAAACATTTGTAAGTAAATATTGTATTTTAAAGTGTTAAACTGAAACCCCAGAGGACATCCCGTTTGGTATGTTTTCCTCTTAGGTGGAGATCCCCAACATCCAGAAGCAGAGGAAGCAGCTTGCTAGATTGGTGTTGGACTGGGATTCGGTGAGAACCAGGTACGGTACTGCTGTCAGAAAGGCCGTGTCGCGTTAGGCTCTGTGCCATCCCCAAGCCTTCGCTGCCCCACCACGGATGAAAGACAAATGAGCACACAGTGGATTGTCCTTTGCTCTACTGACCGGGTTACAGCCATCCACCCCTCCTTTAGTCCTCCTTCCCTCCAGCATGGCAGTGGGAGTGAGAACAGTCTGTCCTTCCTGAGGCAAGAGTGAAAGGAAACAAACAAAAAGAAAACTGAGTAAATCCATTTAATAGGAGAGAGGACGGGCTTGGGAGAGCAGAGTGTAGGGATAAATAGATCGGCAGTCCGGCCTGTTCCTGAGGGCCCTACCACGTCACAAGCCCTTTGCTCCTGTAATTATCCTTCGTGGTCAAGAACTCTGCGCTCCCGCACGCAGGGCTCCTGTGACTCTCGCCCCATCCACAGGCTGCCGACCTGTGGGTTTCATGTCCACAGTAGAGCAGTGATCTGGGCAGGATTGCCACCCAGCTCCATCCTTGAGGACCTACGTGCTCTTCGTCTTGGGTGTGGAAGGGCTGAAAATAGGGAAATGAGCACCTACGGCCTGGGCTCTGTCTCAGCACACAGCAAACTTCTGTAGAGGGTCAGAGTAAAAAAAAAAAATTTTTTTTTTTTTGGTACCGGGGATAGAACTCTGAACCTTATGCTTGTGAGGTAGGCGGCAGCACCACTGAGCTAAATCCCCAGCGCCAGAGTAAATATTTTTGACACTGCAACCCAGATGCCCATCAGAACCACCGGATTCTGGTGTAGAATAAAAGCACCTGTAGGGCCCAAGGGTGTAGCTCATTGTAGACTGCATGCTCACCATGTGTGAGGCCCTGGGGTGGGGAGAGGAGGGGTACAGGGAGAGGAAGGAAGGGGGAATTTAAAGCATCCATGGACAGTGCATGTCTGTGCCCAGTAAAGCAGGCGGTTTTGCCGGCCTCTGCTTCTCAGACTGTCTCCATCCTTGCTGCTGCTCTGTGAAGGAGGCGTGATTGCTTCTGTTTGTCTGACGTGTTCTGATGTAACTGCCATCAGGGTGCTGCTCTGTGTCGGGCGCTTTGGTCACAGAGATGAGAAAGTGGCCAGAGCAGGGCTGATCTTGTTCCTCAGATGCTGTTGGTATTAGATAGATGCATCACTGACTTAATATCCATTTATTTGGAGGAGAAAAGCCCCAGTCCGTTAAATGTATGAATCAACTGTTCAAAAATAATAAGAACTAGTAGATAGGAATATCTTCTCTGCACACAAGTGTGCACACGTGTATCTGTTCTGTCTCCTACCCCTGCCACTTCTGCAAGGCAGGTCGTGGTCACCGTCATGGTGTCACCAATGAGGCAAGTGAGGCGCAGAGCCGCATTCCCTAGGTCACATGCGGGTTCAGTCGGAGCCTCTGCAGCCGCACTCCCAGGGCAGCATTGTCAGTACTGCTCTGCGGCCTGCTGAGGTGCACATGGCAAGTGTGCAGAAGATGGTGTTTGTAAGCACTGCAGTGACTGCTGATGAGTTTTCATGCTGCATCTTCGCAGTGTCTACATCTTAGTGCAAAGTGTTAACGTGTCCCACAGCACCAGACACATAGTATACAAACAGGAAGTCAAAGCACCTTTGAAAAACCAAAAAAAACTGTAGATTATTCCCCGTCCAACCCTACTACTATAACATTTTTTTAATGCTTTCATAGCTCTATTTTTGAAGTTTGGCTTTTACCTGCTAAAAATAACCACGGGTCACAGATGTGAGAGCAGGGCTTGTTCCCAGAGGCACAGGAACATTGTAATCAGAGCAGGAGAGCAGAAAGTCTGTGGCTGATCACTGTGGAAGGGGGCAGCATGGACTGCTTTTCAGCAGTGGATCTGTGTGAGGTCAGGTCAGGGTGACTGTGTCCAAGCCCATGGAGAGTCCTGCCCTGGGGGGAAGCTAATGTCTGTCCTGCCCTGGGGGGAAGCTAATGTCTGTTTACCTGCTTCTGTTCTTAGAGAATAACTTGAGCGGCTGTCCAGGGTGCTGACCCTTTCCCAGGTAGAGTCTGTCCTGGGGAAGGCTGTCTCCTTTGCTGATTCCCTGAGGCTGAGCGTGTCCAATCCTCAGAGGCTGGCTGCCCCTTCATTTTGCAGGTGGAACCAAGCTCACAAATCTTCAGGCACCAACTTTCAGGGGCTTCCATCAAAAATAGATACCCTAAAGGAAGAGATGGATGAAGCTGGAAATAAAGTAGAGCAGTGTAAGGTATGGTATGAGAGCTCCCTGGGGAGTGTGTGTGTGTCAGCGTTTTGTATCTGCCAATGAGGGATAATGTCAAATACTGCAAATTATGTTTATAGAATTCCTATCAGGATATTCGGAATGATATAAAAAGGAGTTTTTTATTCTTTCTCTACATTATAGACAAAATAAAATATTATTTTTAGTAGAAAATATTTTTTAAGAGATGAGTTTTGTATATTCCCCCTACATCTAGAGTAAACTATATGAAAAAATGAACAAAACACACTTATTTTAAAGATTTGAGGAGGATATTTTAAAACCTTGGTTAAGCTTATTTGAAATAAAGTAGCAAAGAGAAAAAAAATCCCGTAGCAAAACATATCATAAAGTTACACAGTGCACCATAGATATAAAAATAGATCAGTGCAAATACAGGTTTTCTAGAACAAATGTCACAAGATTTAATATATAGTAATTTAGTGATCATAGAGACATTAGAAGGCTTCTTTTCTTTTTTTTTTTTTTCTTTTTATTGAGTTTATTGGTACAGTCTAAGTATACAGTACAATTACATTCATCATTGGGATTCTGTACCTTTACATAATAGGTCTTGATTCTCATTTTTCCCCTTGTCCCTCCCCTCCCT